CGCACTTTAGTGATCTCTCCTGCATGCACTGCTCGTAAGAGGGCTTTGAGCTCAAGTTGAAATGCGCACGTACTTATTAGCAGACGTTGAACTTGCTTATCATACATTTCTCACTCCATTGTACGAACCGTGCTTAACTAACGTACACGCGCTTCTTAGTTTAAACCAGTTTCATAACATAACGAGGACATATCTCTAAAGCATGTCAGACATGTGGGAAGGGAGAGGCAATCAAAAAAATTTGGGTTATGTCAGACTTTTAAACTGATATGGAACCGCTTAATGTGGACCTGCGACCAATATGGAAAGTTGTAACGATGTCTGAGAGATTTATTATCTACCCAACTCGGTTGTCTGCACTTCAAAGCACTCCGTACAACCTGTAGGACACGTTGGATAATTCGAGAGTATGCACCGCACTCACGGATTGCAACACGACTGTCAAGAACCAGGTAATGTAATGCACGTGTCGTTTCTTTTTTACCCACTTCAGCTGTATACGTCGTATGGAAGGTATATTGATTCTAGCACATACATCAGAGCCCACGTTATCATTGGTGGCGGGTTCTGTAGCTGTTTTCTTAGGCCACATGATGCTGTGATCTCGAACATTCGCTCATAGAAGTTGTTGATAAATATTTTGATGTCATTTTTTAGCCTGTGAGCACTGCAAATACAACCGAAGGCGTGTACCCATGCTTACATGTATGAAATAATGAGGATGGGTGGTATGGAGTGTATTGTTCTGCCACTGTCCTCGATTTGATGTAGAATACAAACGCATTCTTAACGAGCTGCCCAGATTGGATGATTGGCCGCTTTGCGAGCAGCTGCTATAACATGACATCGTCCCCATTGGTCTTCAGCTCGCAAGAAAATGAAGGCGCATTTGTTCTTATTGAGTACGACGTACATTTATACATGAAAACTGATCCATGCGCCAGGTATCAGTGCAGGACGCAAGCTATTGAAAATATGTGCACAGCTGCTGGCGGTGGGGCGAGGGACGAGGGGAGGGGCATAGTTTTGTACGCACTGATGCGACTATCCAGGACCACAAAATATTTTGCCGTTGTGGTCTCCTCATGACCTTGTTTGCTACTTCCGCATTCGGCGCTTTTTCGGAAATCTTGTGAAAATAATGAAAATAGTTTGAAAAGCTGGATACATTCGTTGATATTTTGAATATTCCTATGTGACGACCATGTGAATTATGGAAATTCGATTTTTGTCTTTGGTATTTTGATATATTGAGAAACTTTTTGGTTGTTACACCCGTTTCTTAATACCTCCAGGTGTAGTTGTGAACCAAAAGCAGCCGACATTGATGCCTCCACCTACACTGCGTCAAGTACTTCTCTAGTTCTCTTCACCATGTGCTGCGCAAAGATCTCGCTATTGCCAAAAAAAAAAAGCTAGACATTTATTTCGTCTAGTTTCCTGACTCCATCCGCCAGTTCATCCGGAACCAGATTGTGAGTGTACTCCGTTGTATGCGCTGATGGTCTGCACTTTATCTTGAACAAGCATACCATTCATTGACGGAGCAAGATTATGGGGGTTTCGAATTCCCGCCACTTTCCACAGAAATTTGTCAAATTGGAAGTGTATAGCTCTGCGTATACGTTCATAGGTCAAGGCTGGCTGAACTTTCCCGGAACGAAATTCTATGTGCGCCTCTGATACCATCCTCTCATCACTACACTTATGAGAACTTCACCACAAGGACCACACTGTATAATCTAAGTTCCAGTGCTGGTAGTCCATGGCAAGCACGTAAAAGGGTTCAGATAAATGCGCTGAACACCACAAAGGCAATTCCAGCTGGACTACGATCGCAATGACTGAACCCCCAGTCGTCGTGACGCACAGTTTTTCTCCCCCTCTGTCTCCCAGTCTTGTTTCTATAACAACGCAGCTCTTTAAGCCAGCCGCAAAAAGCGTGGCGTGTACGAAAGGTTAGCGCCTGCCGGTATCTGGCATTACTGTGCGATAACTGGAAACGTGCCCTTAGAAACTTACTCTTCAGCTTCTTTTAGCGTGGTTTAGCCTTTGTTGCTGGCCCCTGCTGGTGTTTCAATAATTCATGCACACAGAATGATTCTGATCAAGCGCTCGCACCTCGAGCGCAGTTGTGCCAAACCAGGATGCAGTCTTCAAGGCTGCAATAATTTTACACGCTGCACAAAACGTTCTGTTTTCCGACCAATGGAGATAGAAAAAGTGCCTGCATTGCAATTATTACGCAAATGAAAGTGGCTCCCCACAACACTCGCGCAGGTTTGTTCGGCCCACTTCACTAAATGCAATGTAGACCTCAGCAGAGACTATTGGCACGTAGGCGATGTTAAGACGTTACGTCAGAAGAAGGCCACCCAGTTACAGGGACTACATCGGACGCCGTCGTCTTCTACCCGTGGCAGATAAGTAATAAGTGGGCTGGCACCTGAATCAAAACGTGAAAGCTAACAGTGAAAATTAATCTTAGAGGTGTTTCTTGAAAATTGCAGCCATACCAATGATGTTGTATCCTCTTCCAAGGAACCTGGGAAACAAAACAGCTGCACTCAACATGAATTGTCGCACAGTGTACGTCGTGGTGTCCGTGTTTTGTTGCCGTTGCATTTCATTTTATTTTAAAGCGATACCTGTTAGGAGGTTCACAGAAGACGACTCATCATCCGTCTTGCTGCTTCAAGTAATATCACCGCATTCTAGCTCATTTAAGTTTCAGTGTGAACATGTACTGTTGTTTAGGTGAGTTTAAGTTGAAGTTTGATTCATGAATAGTTTACTCGTGAGTATAAACCATAATAGTTCGCGTGCGGCAATTGACATATTCGCACAATGATTACATTTTATAATTTCTCGAGTCACACTGAGCACTTCGAATCGTGAGCGATTCTCATCACCACTGATCTCTATAAAAAGTGTCTGGTGTGACACAGGTGCAGAAATGGGCATTTTATGCTGAGGTTGTGTGCTTAGACGAATACTCAAATATGTTCGTGGTTTCACAGGAGGATGATTTTCAGGTCTAGTTAAAAAGCTTAATTGTACAACTTCACTACGAATCGGACAACTCTTCGCCTGCATGTCTACGATGTGGGAGTGATTTGAAGACGCGGCCAGGGAAAATACAGGTGTTACCTATCTCTTCTTGTCCGTATCTTCAAATCACGCCCACATCGTTGACATGCAGAACCAACTGGCCCAATTAGGTGCACTGACTAACTTCTCCTGCAGTTTATGCATTTTCTATTTGTACCTCCCCTGCGCGCCGTTGAGCCCCTTCATGTGGCCGCTTGACATTGCTCTAAACACCTCCTAAGAGATGCACCAAAAATAATAGAGCAACAAACTCAAACACACCCCGAAAACACCGCTGGGACCATCGAAAAAGCATTACCGGAAGCTGCACACGGGAGGTCTCTTCGGCAGGCTGTTCGGTAAAAGCCAGTTTGCTTTACAAACAACAAAACCGTCTATTAAAAAACTGTCACCATCATGAACGTATATGTGCCATGGAAAATGCGCCAGTTCCCCTGCTCACGACTGGTCCACTAAAAATCATAAAGACAACACATGGACGGCAACCTATTAATTCTATACAGACGTAGCCAGCACTTGAGAAAAGCTTTAATAAACCACCGGGATTAAACCAGCGATAAACAACGCGGCCAACCATTTCAGCTTCGCTGAAGCATTTGTACAGAGTGCTTCAGTGGTAAGCATGACAAGAGAATGCGGGGAAACGGGAAAGGTACGAGAAGATCCTCGAAGCGATGGGAGCCCAACGCAAACTGCAACGTATCGGTTAGATCTACGGGAAGTGAAATCGCTTAGTGTCAGCGCCAAGTTAGACATCAATGTCATGTCTGTAACTACCTTTGGGTCAACTCAAACTTCTCTGGGCTGAGCAGGAAACCTAGCAACAGAAAAACTACGTTGGACTACAGAATCGTTCAGGTATACGCTGTTTCAAACCTTTCGCGGCTTAATGCCGCCATTTTACTCCCTGGAGTCCGGTGGGGATACTTCGCATTCCTTGGAGCCGCAACAACCCGATGCCGAAGACAAAGAGTATTTTATCACAACCTACGCCGACGTTCTGCAGTGGTACAGAACGAGCAGGCGCCTCTACCCACCGCCTCACCGAGACCTACAACGCAGAGAAGCAGCCACACTACGGAAGCTGCAAGTACAAGCAATATGGATCCCCGTCTGGGCAAAGCACGTTTGCCCGGAGTTTTACACCACTGATGTATGCCAACACTGCAAGAAGGCGCGAGCCACCCAGAGACACCTCCTTTTGGACTGTGCACCACCGCCGGGTAACCAAGAAGTAATGCCAACTGCCATAAGCAGCAAAATCATCAGCCGAGAGCCAGGCAATCAAAGAGACGTAGTCCAGCACGTGCTTAGCATCCTGGAACGCCAGCGGCCGAAAGCGGCGCCCCCACGGGTTTGACGCGAGTAGGTTGCGGCTCCGGGACGTCCGAGCACGCTAGCGTCTCGCTTTAATGCCCCTACCCCTTCCCCCTTTATGCCGGATCGTCAATAAAGTTGTTTCACTCACTCACTCCCTGGAGTCCATCCGACTGTATGCTCAACGATTTCCGCCATACCCATGAACACAATCGCTCACAAATAGGCTCTTTTGGCCCCGCCGCGGTGGTCTAGTGGCTAAGGTACTCGGCTACTGACCCGCAGGTCACGGGCTAGAATCCCGGCTGCGGCGGCTGCATTTCCGATGGAGGCGGAAATGTTGTAGGCCCGTGTGCTCAGATTTGGGTGCACGTTAAAGAGCCCCAGGTGGTCGAAATTTCCGGAGCCCTCCACTACGGCGTCTCTCATAACCATATGGTGGTTTTGGGACGTTAAACCCCACAAATCAATCACTCAAATAGGCTCTTTTGAAATAATCTCTCAATCTTTCTTTACCTCTCGATATCGGTCTTTATGATGTTTTAATCTTTCTCCCCAGCATGACCTCTTACCTGGGGTCGAGGCTCACTCGTTGATGGAGTAGTGTTGTGAGCACGAAGAGAAAGCAGTTGAAGAGGTTCAAGCGGTTTTCCATGCACTCGCCGCCCTTTCCGTCGTCCACCAGCATCCACTCGCGGAAGCTGAGCCGCGCGCTGATGTACATCACGAATACGGTGCACGCCGTGGCCAGGAGAATGTAAATCCACACCTGCAATACACAGGGCCGCAGAGTGACAAAGTGACAACCTAAACGAGCGCTACGACAATGTTTGTTGTAAATTAATACGAGAGATGTATAGTTACTGTTTCGAATATTCAAAGGAAACCAAATGAAACAGACACTCGATAGAAAAAACTTTAGTTTTGTGCATGCACTTTTCACCTATGGCTAACAAGTTATGTTTTTGGAACCATGTTCTGGAAGCAGGTACATGCAAAACAGATATAAGTAAGCGCAACAAATAAGTTTGTACTTTCCCGTGAGTCTTGCGAATGCGAATGCACTGCGACAGTGCACTCAAACATGAGCGATCTATAGCTCGCAGATAATAAACTACAACCCACTGCGCGAAAGTTTTCACAATAGAATGACGTGACGCAACGATCTGCCATGACAAAAAAACGTGATTAGACATTTTTTTTTCTTTTTCTGTTTGCTTTTTCAACGTATGGTTAACTCGAATTTTCCTAAACCAAATAGCAATGTGTAGTTCGTGGTCTCAGAACCAATCACAGCGAAAGCTGTTATGAAATAGCAACAGCCGACTTTGGTGACGTAGTTGTCCGCCATCGCCACTGCCGGTTTCCGTAACCACTGTCGCACGAAACGGCAATAGCCTCCAGTCCTGCATGAAACACGCTGCATAGACGCAATGAAATCTGCAGCAGCAGCCTTTCCGAAGCATGTTGTAAACTGTATTGGTATACGTAGGGGGGTAGAATGAATGAATGAATGAATGAATGAATGAATGAATGAATGAATGAATGAATGATTTCTATGAAAAGCGAGTCCAGTCGTTTACTTCGGGCGAAGTTTGGAGAAAAGGGGATCAGAGTAATATAATAACCAGATGTCACACAATGCCAATTGGTTGAAAAATGCGTCTTTCAAATATTCTAACCTATTACAAAGGAATCGGTCGTAATTTTTGATCATCATCAGCCACAGAGACCACCAAGAAAATCTAATATCTTGGATGTGTAGCGGGTACCTCGCTTCTCCGCGAAACGATGAATGATGGCATAGCGACTACTTTCCTGCATCGCAAAATTTATTATACTTCATGGCGTAGTGAGTACCTTGCATGCGCCCTTGTAGCGATTTAGACATGAGAGCTAACAACGTTCACGAGAAAGGCCGCTCTTCAGGCTTTCACAGTGACAACGCTACATAATTCGTGCAGGCCTGGCGTAATTTTTTTTAATATAGTTCGGATCTACCACCTCAAAGAGTGTTAATTGTTGTTTTTGTTGCTTTCCTTTAGAAACAACTTTACTTTTTTATGAGTTCATTTATTTGGCCTTAACGGATATATACCTGAAATGTGTGAAGATACCAAACATGGTAGTGGTAATTTTTTGCTAATTAAGGAGTGTGTTACCCCGTCATCCTAATTTGATTTATACGCGCACGGCACGAAAATACATGAGTGCTTTATTGAACTGTCACAAAACGTTCACACCTGATCGGGAAGAGAGAGATATATTTTAATGACGAGTTAGATATGTTAGTCTGGCTTTCCATCTGACATGCAACTCTGGGTATTGGGTGATGATTATTATATATACACTGATAAACACTGATACGGATTAGGTACTTTTCAAGTATTCCTCATGGATAATAATAAATATTTCTAAGGATTATGAGTGGGTAGCGGCCTCTGTCGAACACTTCAGTGGTTCGACATGCTACAATATTGGAAAACTATACGTGCTGTTTCTTCAGGTAAGCACACGAGGGCGGCAGTGGCCACGTCGATAGGCGGTTTCAAAACTTGCATCCCAGTGACGCTTTCCTCTTGAACAACGGCCGCATATCTCAGAGGCCATGATTTTCGTTACTGCGAGCGCCTCCATTTAACGTCGGCAGCAGCAGTTATACAAATGGCCAAATCCTCACCCTCTCAGGAAAAGTGAAAATTTGGAAGCAAACCAAAAACCTATTAAGACTAACGATAAGGCTGTCAGTCCAACGTGCGACTACGACGTCAGAATGTTGAAGCATTGCCTACAAATTTATAGTAGCCCAGCCGAATACACATTACCTGCGAGTAACGCTCGCTGTATCAGATGTCATGTGACGGGCCGATTTCGCAAGGGAAAGAAAGGGGTAGTTGCTTACGTCGTGGTGACGTAAACATGACGTCACAGGACGTCGCCATGGCGCCATGAGTGACTTCACAATGACGTCATGTGGTGAAGTCATCACGAGGCAATTTCTCGTAAAACTTGTGTTGATGCCACGGACACCGATGGTTCGTTTTTGAGTATGCTGAAGCACGTATACAGCTGTCGCCTAAAATAACGAAAAGTAATGCGCCTGCGAGGCACAAAGGACCACCACTTTCCTCTCGAGTGAGGGGCAGGAAGAATGCCCAGATGCCCCCGGGACTCCTGGGTTGTCCTTTCTTGGTGACCGCCACCAGACCAGCCGTCATGTAGGGCAGCGTGAAGTCGATCACCCGCTCACGCATCTCGGTGATGGTCAGGTCGGCCAGTGCCACGTCGGCTTTCTGTGAGCCAGTGTAGCAGAGGGTTATTCAGAAATAAAAAAAAAACATACCTAGCAAGAACAAAGCAGTGGTGACATTCAAATGCATATCAACAAGCACTGTATTGAAATCAGAGTAATGTCAAAGAAAACAAAACGTTATCTGTCTAACGGTTTCGATGATAATGCCGTGTTTTTGGCCTTTTCCAGTCGAAGCCACCGCGAAGTGCCATTTCGGACAAGAAATAGCAACTAATCTCGGGGCAATGCATTCCAAGAGAGAGGCTCACTGATTCCCCGACTTCAACTTGCTTATTTGTGTATTTCCGGCGCTCGTTAATACAGGATATTGTTGCGTGCTAAATATGTGGGCCTAAGTGGGTTAAGAATAGCTGAGTTATGCGGTATTGCAACACGATCAACGCCTTCCACCATTCTCCGTCTAAAGATCGCATTGTCTACCATTTCATTGTGAAAGATGGCTCCATCGTTAGCAGATTATGATTATAAAAACGTAAGTTCCATGACCTGCTTATATTAGGGTGCGAGTCTATTCTTCTTGCACTTACATATAAGCACGCGGGTGTAATCTTTGCACTTGTAAGCGAAGCCATGCCCTCGAGCTCATCAAGGCGACAACTGCAGGCAAAACTAGTACGGCGAAAAGACGGGCTAACAGCGTGACGTAGAATACCAATTACTAAAATGACAAGTACTGGCTTATCGAGAAAATAAACGCAAGCAAGGTGGATGATAATTGTTCTTGTTGGAGAAAATGCCATCATAACAAGTTTAAGCTGTTGGTAGAGTGTATGCAACAAAGGCTGAATGACAACCTGCAATATGGGCTTAGCCAAAAGGAAGGGAGGAGGTGTCTGAACTCCACCCTCCTCAAAAACATTTCAATTTTTCTTGCGTATATATACACGCACGCATACAAACGCCCGTACGAACAGAATGTATTAATGCAACCGCCCCCGTTCAATCAAAAAAAAAAAATTCTGGCTACGCTCTGACCTGTGCGCAGCTATAAGCGCCATCTATTCAATCCTAAAGCGACTAGAGCAAGCAACCATGCACGTGAATAACTGCCCTTACAGAGATGGCGCTGTTATCTTGACGTTGTTGTAGAACTCAACGTACGGATCGATACGGCCTCAGAAATTTCATACCAGAGGCCCCGCAGCCATTTTGGAGGCCATATATGAAAACTTGGGAGAGTTCCCAGTGTATCGGCAAGGCTGTCAGTCCAACGTGCGACTACTACGTCAAAATGTTGAAGCATTGCCTACAAATTTATAGTAGCCCCGCCGAATACACATTGCCGGCCAGTAACGCTCGCTGTATCAGATGTCACGTGACGAGCGATTTCGCAAGGGCAAGAAAGGGGTAGTTGCTTACGTCGTGGTGACGTAAACATGACGTCACAGGACGTCGCCTTGGTGCCATGAGTGACTTCACAATGACGTCATGTGGTGACGTCATCACCAGGCAAATTTTCGCAAAACTTGTGTTGATGCCACTGACACCAACGGTTTGTTTTAGGGTATGCTGAGGCTCGTATACGGCTGTCGCCTAAAATAAGGAAAAGAAACGCGCATGCGAGGCACAAAGGACCACAACTTTCCTCTCGAGTGAGGGGCAGGAAGAATGCCCAAATGCCCCCGGGACTCCTGGGCTGTCCTTTCTTGGTGACCGCCACCAGACCAGCCGTCATGTAGGGCAGCGTGAAGTCGATCACCCGCTCACGCATCTCGGTGATGGTCAGGTCGGCCAGTGCCACGTCGGCTTTCTGCGAGCCAGTGTTGCAGAGGGTTATTTAGAAATAAAAAAAAATATACCTTGCAAAAACAAAGCACTGGTGACATTCAAATGCAGCTCTACGGGCCCTGTATTGAAATCAGAGTAATGTCAAAGAAAACAGAACGTTATCTCTACCACGGTTTTGATGATAATGCCCTGTTTTGGCCCCCTTCCAGTCGAAGCCATCGCGCAGTGCCATTTCGGACAAGAAATAGCAACTGATCTCGGGGCAATGCATTCAAACAGAGAGGCTCACTAATCCCCCGACTTCAACTTGCTTATTTGTGTATTTCCAACGCTCGTCAAAACATGATAATGTTGCGAGCTAAATATGTTGGCCTAAGTGGATTAAGAATCGCCAAGTTATGCAGTATTGCTACACCATCAACGCCTTCCACCATTCTCCGTCTAAATATCGCGTTGTCTACCATTTCATTGTAAAAGATGGCTCCATCGTTAGCAGATTATGATCTAAAAACGTAAGTTCCATCACTTGTGTTTATATTGGGGTGCGAGTTTATTCTTCTTGCACTTACATATAAGCACGCGGGTGTAATCTTTGCACTTGTAATCGAAGCCATGCCCTCGAGCTCATCAAGGCGACAACTGCAAGCAAAACTAGTACGGCGAAAAGACGGGCTAACAGCGTGACGTAGAATACCAATTACTAAAATGACAAGTACCGGCTTATCGAGAAAATAAACGCAAGCAAGGCGGATGATAATTGTTCTTGTTGGAGAAAATGCCATCATAACAAGTATAAGCTGTTGGTAGAGCGTAGGCAACAAAGGCTGAATGACAACTTGCAATATGGGCTTAGTCAAAGGAAGGGGAGGAGGTGTCTGAACTGCACCCTCCAAGGAAACGTTTCAATTTTTATTTCGTATATACACAAGCACACATGCCAACGCCCGTAAGAACAAAATATATTAATGCAACCGCCCCCCTCCAATAAAAAAAAATTCTGGCTACGCTTCTGACCTGTGCGCAGCTATAAGCGCCATCTATTCAATCCTAAAGCGACTAGAGCAAGCGAAACCATGCACGTGAATAACCGCCCTTACAGAGATGGCGCTGTTATCCTGACGTTGTAGAACTCAACGTACAGATCGATACGGCCTCAGAAATTGCATACCGGAGGCCCCACAGCCATTTTGGAGGCCAGATATGAAAACTTGGGAGAGTTCTCAGTGTATCCGCAACTTGACGCCCCCCTGTCAACCGCTGTTCAGTATTCGTTGGCTGCGGCCAGACCCGCTGGTGTCCGAGATAGCAGGCTGCTGAGGGCTTTCCTCTCTCTCTCTCTCCTCTCTCTCTCTCTCTCTCTCTCTCTCTCTGTGTGTGTGTGTGTGTGTGTGTGTGTGTGTGTGTGTGTGTGTGTGTGTGTGTGTGTGTGTGTGTGTGTGTGTGTGTGTGTGTGTGTGTTGCGGGAGAGTTCGACATTAACGTCTTAGTCAGTCAGACTGTTTGTACGCCAGTTTTTGTACGTCTGTCAGAGTGTTGTAATAAACTAGTCAAAAAACAAAGGTCCAATTGTGCACCATGCCCTCTTCACGGAGAGTGGAAGTAGGCACATTATTTGCAGCTGTAAACTCTTTTGCCAGTACAAGTGAAGAAATTAAAACATTATAGCTAAATACGAACTTTGGGGCGTGAATTCCCCAAAAAACGCAATCTGATATTAGGCACGTCGCAAAGGGAGACCATGGATAAATTTTGACGAACTAAATCTTTTTTTTTGTGCCATCTGATGAAGTCTTGCAATTTTGAAATGTTTGGCCACTCGTGAGGTTTGTGTCATGGCCTTCTTTACGCACGCATAGCGATACACTACAAGAACTCTTTCTATATATATTTATTTTTGTGCTCACTTAGGTGCATAGGCTAACATTATATAAAAAAAACTCAAGGTATCCCTTATAAAATCGCCTGAGAAAACTTCACGGTGAAAACCATCTCCTTCTTTTGCTTCTCTGTATGTACTGATCCGCCCACGCCCATCTCCGAAAGTTTTCTGAGCTATGCCTTTGTCGGTCCCCCTTTCCACCAAGGGAAAATGAACAAGCTCGTTGAGGCTGAGAACTGACCTCTCGAATTCTGACCATCCAGAGGGCCCACGCGAGGGCGGTCAGGTTTAACCTGATCGTCCCCTAGTGGGCCTAGCCAGTTGACGTCGAGTTAATTCATGCCTATTGTCGACGTATTGAAGTTGTTTCACTCACTCACTCACTCACTCACTCACCTACCCTGGTTTTTAATCACTTCCAATGTGCAAAGTAGTGCAACCTTTTTGCACCACATCTTGCTTTGCAAGGCCTCCGTGATTGGCTTACATTTGAACAAGCTACGACGTGATGTGATGACGTCATCAACTGACTGCATGGTATGGGGCATCACGATAACGTCGTAGTGACGAAATGAAGACGTCACATATTTTGGAGATCTGTGTGATGCTACATGGAGATCTTCATCAAATAGTGTGACGATGTTATATATATATATATATATATATATATATATATATATATATATATATATATATATATATATATATATATATATATATATATATATATTGCGTTTCTCGTATTGATTCCACCAACTCCGACTAAAAACTTTTCTCTTTGAGGCTTTCGCCTTAATAGGGTGCCGGCAACTGCATGCAGTAGAACTTAGAGTGGTCGAACATAGCGCATGAAAAACGCAAAAATGTCATAAAACACCCTCTCGTTCTCCCCCCCCCCCCAAAAAAAAAAAAAGACAGGACATAACGAATACGCAGCTTGTTCATTGGGATAACTTAATACAACCACTGTGTTGGAGCAGAACGAAAACCGAAAACAAAAACCAAAGAAAAAAGAAATTTTTCACAAAAACGAAAACGTAACCGACACGTTATCTATTATTTCGTTCCGGAGTGAAATAAAAAAATTTCAACACATTTTGCTCCCACGGAAACTTCGTAATCCGACATATCCGAGGTCATGCAACGTGAGCAATAATGCCCATCTCAGAGTATAAGACCAACGCTATTACATACAAAAATTTGAAAGCAAGGCAGCGTTGAAATTGTGGGAAAAACAAACAGTGGCAACCAGTGATTCTTACACTCAAGACATAGGCACTGCGCCGTGCTCAATTCCGGACTTCAGAAATTAGGCGCCTTCTTCTTCTAACAATGACTACAACCACAACTGAGACAAGTGGACTTTCGTGTACCTGTGACGCAGGGCCAGCAAGGGGAGGGCATTCTCGGCGTGGAAAGTTGTTTTATATGAACAGTGGTCTCACATATCAAAGGTACGCTGCATGAGGGGCTGTTCCCGATATCATACTCACTGCCTTGACACAGGCATTAAAATTTGCTTTCAATTTAGAGAAATTCACTTTTGACAAAGTCTACTATAACTTTGAAAGGCGCTGATTTGCACTGATTTGTGGCAATTCTAGGTACACTGAGTTGTGCTCCTCTTGAAAACGTGATAAGCTGTTCTACCCTTGGCCTACAGGGACACTAAAGGCAAATATTAAGTCGACGTTTATTCTTGAATTGCAGTCCAGAAACCTTGTAGTGTTACTTTTGTGCCAAAGAAGTGTTTATTTTGAAATGAAATCACGTTTTAGTGGTCCGCATTGAGTTAGCGCACTTCAAGCTCTTCGCCTCCAGCAGAACGTGTCACGTCAATGTTGCCGTGCACAATGTTTCCTGGCTTTACTGCGCGGCCGCCAACACTAGTAGCATCAGAAGGAAAGCAGAGGGAGGCACAGCAGTACCAACGGCCACTGCATAATTTCCTGCCATTGGCTCCGAGATGTCACACGTGCTTGGTTCAACTGGGTTCCGCGAGATGGCACAACCTGTCCAGTTTAACCAGGCGAAAATTGAACTTTTTAACCACTCGCGCCATTTCCCATAGTAATCTCCGGTGGTTGTTGTTTTTTTATAAAAAACAGAAACGAACAAGCAGTATTTTATTAGGTCTCTTGATGCACAGAATATTTTTTATTTAGTGAAGCTAGTTTGATTACTAGTGAATAATTTTGGTCTGTAACTCTGACGTCATATGGATAATTTTGCGAGTGTCCAACTGCGGCGCATGTGTTATCGTGAATTCATCCTAATTTCTCGACAAGTATGGCATTGCTGTTGATAGTATTGTCGTTTTAGACGTTGTCATACACTGAGCATTCACTCTCATGTATACTATTATTTGACTTTAGTGCCCTTTAAGAGGCGTGTACGTGACTGTGTGACAAATGCAATATATAGTCATCGTTACTCTTTAACATCAAATTTTTTCATGCAAATAAGTAACGTTAGGAAACAATACGCAACATTTTTCCTCAGTCCGAAACAGAAACAGAACGGAACTTTTTGCCGTGGAATGAAACTAAAACCTGAACGAAAAGCACTTCGTTCCACCACCATGCTCAGAATGATCCTGACTGCAGTTTTACCGTGAAAATTTTATTAACCTTCAAACGTGTTTGTGTGCAAGTATACGAGAAGTCTGTACAATGCATAGTATTGTTTTTTAAGGCGTAACTCGGAGAGTATCTGGATAGTAACATGGGATTCATTCTAGTCTCAATTCAGCTGTATGTTGTACGGGCAATAAAATTCAGGCAACAACAAACGTGAAGCGCGTGCGCATTGTCTTATATCCAGGCCTCAGCGGTTGCATTTCAGTGAAAGTAAAATGGTAGAGGACCATGTGCTGTGTGATCTTAAGCACGTTGTATGACACCAGATGGTCAAAATTTTCGGACTCTTCCACTACGGCGTCTCTTGTAATCATATCTCTATTCTGAAACGTAAAATCCCAGATGTTATTATAACAGATGCATAGTGGGCACTTACGCCAGCTATTACGTCTCCGATCATTCCGCTCCAGTGTCCCGTATCGTTTGGTGCACCGCGCGCACCGTCACTCATAACGTGAAGCTCGTACTTGAAGTTCAGTTCCTGCGACAACTTGTCAAGCAGGTCGACGCAGAAGCCACTGTAGACGCTCTTGCCGTCCACTTCGTTCACCATCATAAATGGACTCACCTGCATTGGAGAAGGGTTTCGCTGAATGTCGGCAGCAGGTCATAACTAGAAACACAAGGCTGGCAGACAAACCACTTCGCTTCTAAACCTTAGGTGCTTGATTAGATTAGGTCAGGTCAAGTGAGTTTAGGTTAAATTATGTTAGTCAGACTAAGGCAAAGTACATCTATGTACTTTGCCTTAGTCTTCATCGTATACGATCAAGGCGAAATGCTAAATCCGTGTGAGCTTCGAAATTTGGGATCATTTATAAAGGACCCTGTCACACTTTACAACTAACCATCGAATGATTTGGTTATAGGAGTTTAATATCTCCCGAATCTACCATCCTCATTTGTTAAAGAATTGGCGCGGTACGAAGATACTTGTTTTACGCTGCAATTGCTTTCGCTCCTCTCTAGTTCCGACGGGACCATTGGAAGCTTAGAAGGGCAGGATGAAATGGGCAAAAAAAGCTTCGTCATGCAAGCGTAATACCCCTAGGCACATGTTATTCGAATGGGTGGCTTACATTCAATGAAACGGTGAGATTCGCGAACGGGCTTTATTGTGCACTCACACTTAGCAGTCTCCTGTAGTGGTGTCACGCGACTATGCCACTAAAAATGCTCTAATCAGCCAATGGTCGTGAAGTTGAGTGATGGCGCTGTCACCTGGGTATATGGTGTCATTTGTAGAAAGGTTAGAGAACAAGTTTCAGCTCACTTTGAAGAGTAATTGTAAATTCCAGAAGAAGAGCTGTGCTATAATGTAGGATTCGCGCGTTCACAGGAGGCTCGATTACCAATCGGCAGAGTTTTCTGACCATGCTGAAAAGTGTCTCAGAGCCCACTTAAAGAAACACAGAAGGTCCAAATTTCCAGAGCCTTCCACTGGGGTGTCTCTCTTGTTCATGCTGTGGTTTTAAGGCGCTAAGTCCTAAGAATTATTACGATAAGGCAGACTTGAATCAGTTTACATTAGGTTAAATAAAGTTTGGTTATACTTTGGCTCTCATGAGCATGGTGTGACGTACTTTGGCGTAAACATAATATCTGTAAGTTAAAACATTTTTACCAGATCGCTTGCAGTGCTTACACTTCCCATAACAAGTTGTAGGCGACTAGTAAGTGGAAACGTCATCGTTATGATGGCGTGCCACTAATGTTGCGTGTGGGCCCGTGAACTCGCAATGTCTATGACTATTTAGGGGCAAAGCTCCTTAAGGCGTGGGCTGTGCGCCCCCTCTATGTAGCCGCCTCTCGTTTAGTACTTGCAGTGTTCACTGGATGGCAGTACCCTTCCCTGTATGTAGCCACCTCTCGTTTAGTTCTTTTCAGCGTTCACTAGATGGCGGTACTTGTAGTTGATGATGAAGGTTGCGAGATGTTGCGAGATGGCTCATGTCATTGGTGGAAGGCAATCGTTTGATTTAGTGCGGCGACGTTCGCTAGGAGAGCGTTGTAATAAAATCGAGTGGGCAAAATGTATGGAGGATTCATGGTTTACCAGGTTCACCTCAGGAGCTTCGCCCACTCATCATCATTCACTTCGTGGACATGACTGCACCTTTTCTCTTTACGGCACAAATTCTGATAACTATTGCGATAATCTAACAGCGCTTACGATATTCAATTTTACAAGGACAAACGCTGTGATAAGGTGATTATCCTCGCAGACCAATACAAAAAGAAAAAAAACTAATGAGTATCGCACTGTGGTTCGCCTAGAAATTTCGGTCGAAACATCAAACTATGCGGAGCAGTTTAAACGCATCGAAAGCCTGTAGGCGTGCTCATTCGCGAGTTCGGAGATAAATGAGGATGCCGCTAATGGAGGTGTCATGTACTTCTGTGCTTGACATCGGCGTTTCAAGCGACGGAGCTTCCGGCAGAGTTGGGTGGTCGATACAGTTATCGTAGCTGGCAAAAAAAAAAAAACCTTTTGGGGAATTCGACTAGGTCCAACGCACTCGTATAATACGACTGTGCCTCAATTTTCGTCAGCAACTCATTTAGGACGAGTAGTCCAGCTAGCGATTCAACGTCTGCAGCCAGTAATTCATCATCGGTGGGTAGTTTCTTCGCGACAATATGCTTTGTCCAAATTGTATGCGCTAGTTTGTTCATTTTGGATTTAACGGGTTGCAGTGGCTGGTTCAGACGCACTAACCTTGTGGCATCTGACGTATTAGAACGAATACAATAGTCATCACCCGTGACACCTTCAGACATGCTTTCAAAAATACCTCACAATAATGTAGCTCTTGCGTACTCCTACACAGCTGAGTGGTGAAAAGGGTTAGTTTATTTCTCATTAAACTGATTAGAGTGGTTAGGTAAACTAGTGGTTTAACAACTGCAGTCGACCATTTGTCATAGGCACGCAGTTGCTGTGTCATGGCACACCATGCTCAACCTCTCGGGACTAGTTTACCATGGATGACTAGGGGTAGCAGTTTATGGCGCCTTAATACAGGTAACTTTTATGCGAATAAATGAAGTTGAATTCAATGAAAGTAATGAGCCTTAACTTGATTTATTGATCTAACACACGTGATATTGGTTTTGAACTATTCCAACTTAGTATAGTTATTATCAATCAATGAACCCACTACATGACATAAGATGAAGGAGAAAATACTTCGTGGATTGCCACAAGGCAAGCATTTTCTCGTATGGCGCAGTTTATACTATTTTTTTGTTTCATTGAAGCCACAATACTGCGATTCATGCCAAGGTGTTCTTCCGCCATCTTTCTTTTCCTTCGGGTTGCACGTAGGTAGTTCTTATAAAAACAAGCGCAGGTATATTTATTTAAGGTGTAGTTTTTGATGATGTCACGTGGGCTGTTTGTGATTCATAAATAAAAATAATGAGGCACAAATTAACCGCGGATTTTCTTCAGTGGCCTGTGAAAGTCATAGGGGTGCCACTACTTAGCACAAATGGAGTATAAACGTGTGCATTTCAGGAATAGAGCGATTAGAAACGCTGAATTTGGGAGGTAGGAAAGAAAGATAAACTTCATTGACTCTAAAATATAAACAGGTTCAAAACAAACCTACTAGGGTGATACAAACATAAATACAATGGTATATGGGAGTATTTACAAATGTATTGTAAGCATAAGCTAAATTAGCAGAAATGTTCAGGTTCAGTCACTTACAAACAAAGGGTGAGAAGGTACAAGTTACAAACCGGAAGCAAGCAGGGTTCAGCAAGCCGGGTCATTGGGGAGACAAGATTACGAACACATAGCACAAACGTGTGGAATTCTATACAAAGTATGATGAACGAGGCGGTAATTTAGACGGGAAAGTAATTTTGCTCGGACTTTCGCATTGAAGTCGCAATCAATATACGCAGCAGCATTTCTCGCTGAACTCTTCGCGGATGAGGGTACTGCGCTGGTGCGCAATGAATGGACGTGGCGTTTAACCTGTCTCCATTCCTGGCCATTTCTGCTGACTCATTCATGCGTGGGAAGGACTTAGCGACGAAATATTGCGCTGCCTCAAAACAGCGAGAGCGTGAAGTAGCGGATGAAATCAAAATGTGAAGGTGGCGTGAAATGAGAATATAAGCATCGTAGATGAATAACTCTTATTGCCTGAGTGCCTTAATCCTTCGTCTACTTCTTCACGCCTTAGTTCGGTGCATTGTCGCGAAATAGACAGCGACATTTAATGGTCATCCCGAAGATTTTGGCCCTGTTTGAGATGAATTAACATGTATTATTTGGTCAGAGCAGTGGTGGCTAAGGAACTGCATATTTGACCCTCCTCTTCGCTGTTGCAAACCGAGTGCAAAGATCTGGATGTGCGAAGTTCGTTATCATGGCAACTTGGTGCCTTCTATAATCTAAAAGCGTAGCGTGTGTTTATCGATTCAACTGCAGTTTTCTCGCCATGATATAGACTTTTAGAATGTCTCACTGATAAAAATTTTACGGAATTCATGTCAGATAAAGTGTTGTTTAGAAAGAAATAGCGAATTGCTAGAACCTTCTCAGCATGAGTACAATACGCAATTGGGAGGATGCTACTTACAGGAACAGATAGAACACGTAGTACTTCATCATCTTCGTCATCTTCATCTTCTTCGTCCTCGGTGATGTTTAGGCCAATAGATGGCGACCATGTTCCAATCTACAATTTTTTTATAGCAGAAAATTATTGGCCAGTAACAAACGGCACGCATTCTTTATTATCCCTTGTTCCCGTTGGAATCGCCATACACCACCATGAACGTCGATGGACTAGGGTATTTTCTCCAACTAACTACTCTCAATTTAAGTTGTATGAAACAAGAATGCCACCATATTGCCACCAAAAAAAAATAACGTGTCAAAACTTAATTTGGCATGGTAGATAGTGTAATTGCAGCTCTAAGATGACTTGGCTTATTGAATAGTTCACTTTTTTGTGCAAGGAAGCGAGATTTTAATATTGAGATGTTCTGTTGTTGTTGTGTTTTTTTTTGCAAGCTTGAGAAGAGCATAGTGAGTGTTTAGCTCAAGAGCTCGCACAAAATCATTTTATAAATCAAGTTTCATTTTCTTTTATTTACCGTGAAAAATAAATGATAAAAATTTTCAGATAATTTTTGCCCGTCTTGTAATATTCGTTAGGCGTTTCAAATTACTGAGTGTACCGAAAGCGTTCTCAGTCATGCCTGATTTTTTCTCTTGCTTCAGTGCCAAATGCTTTTCTTTGTCGCTTGAACTAGTGCAACAATTGCCACTTGGATGCTGAAAAGATCTGTTTTTTCCATACAATGAGACAAATACCACGAAAGAAGATTACTACTTACCTCCTCCAGTCCATCGAATCCAAGTTCGCTCACGTAGAGTTTAATGTCAGTTCTCACGCCTTTGTTGTCAAGTTTTACCACTCCTGTAAGTCCATCGAAACTGACCTGTAAGTTCAAACCATATTATCGGGTAACCGTTGGGTCATTAAAGTTTATTCAACTCAATTACCAACTCAATGCACGAATTATGACCTCAAAGTCGACAGACTACCAAAATCATTATGGTACCGTAAGAAATAACAGTCCTGTTCAGAGTCATATTTATTATTGTGAGGTATAGGAAAAAATGATATTGTATGTAAAGTGCCAGACATTTAGAGAAAAAAAATAGGATGGAAGGAGCAATGAGTTTTAACTGAAATAACTGTAGGTATTTCGGCCACTCTTATGCCGTATAAAATACTGTGTAAATGTGTTATAACACGCGTGTGATCACGCATAACTGCGTTGATTGAGGAATGAAAACTATCACGTAGGTAAAATTATGGCAAAATTAGTGTATTTACGCTAAGAATGATTGTATTACACAGTCGTTTAAAATGGAAGCAATGTTGCTAATCATGCACCACGAAAGCTGTCTTACGCTGTTGAACTATGTCAATACTATACCTGTATGATCTATGAAAATGACTCTTACGCGATATATGTTTGAGACACAGATGGAGAGTGGACACATTTATGTCCTCTGAACAGTTAAGCTATTTCACCATACCAGCACATATTGATTGGTAGATGGAAGGCCCCCACAAAAGCTATGAATTGCAAGAACACTGTAAGCAATGTTTATTACGTTGCATCAAGGATTCGCCCATGAAAGCCGACGTTGTCTAGAGTTGTCATTGAATAGATACGAAAAGGAGCCAGAACACTAACAAAAAGTAGCCAAAATAGTCATGCCAATAAATCTGTTCGCCACATTTGTAACCAAATGATAGGAAAGCATCTCTGTGACAAAGGTTTTAATATTAAACAATGAATAGTACCATTTTGAATCAGCAACAAAGCAGTAATAAGAGCACAACTCTTGCCTTGATTCTTTTCTGTTCTTCTATACCAGTATTTCTCCTATTGCTTTCTATTTTGGCCACAGTTAAGTTGCAAATAAAATAGAAAGTTCAAACTCTTGTGCACCTACATATCATAGGTCCACGTATAATAGATAGACCAATTCTTGGAAACAGAGTAATATAGGAACATTCAAGCCAACGTTACAAAATAATATAGGAAGATTCCAGACAAGTCTAATGTGATTGATCCCTAATAAAACCGGAAAATTACTTCCCATTCCTCCCCAGTGAATGTGCCTTGATAAGCACAAGAATGCTGGTGGATGGAGGTGAAGAAAGAAAAAGGTAGCCGTTAGGCATTTTGTTATTGTGATAGCAAATATAAGAACACTATATATATATATATATATATATATATATATATATATATATATATATATATATATATATATATATATATATATATATATGAACACGCACGTAAGTAAAGGCCAGAAAAAAGACTCTGGCGCGCGGAATCGCACGTGGGACCTCTGCGTCGTGCATGAATGCGAGGCGTCAGTTACTAAGTTACCGAGAAGTACCTCTTTCGAAGTTGAAACAGTAAGCTAATTATATCTACCAGTTGCCGCTGTTGCCGGGCGTCTTGTCGTTGGGGTGGGGGGGGGGGGGGGGCTCGTGTTTTCAGCATTATGAGCAAGATGGCGCAATGAGCACGCGGCGGCTCTCATCTCTGACGCGTACTTTGGCCCGTGAAGAGGGGGGTAGTTGACGATCTCTCACGCGCCCTTATTTCCCGGTGGGGAGGATCACACGTCTTGGCTGGTGTTGGGCTTGCACTGGAACGATTCTGTTGTAGTTAGGGGTGCATAGAGGTTATTGCAATCATTGCACAGCCTCTGTTTGCGAAAAGGGCGTGCTTTTCAGACACAGCGAAGTAACAATTGAGACGTTTGTTCGCGCTCGTATTTACCTGTGAGTACGTTTAGTGCGTCATTTGTGCGGAAGAAACGTTGGGAACATTTAGATCTATTTGTCAGTGACCTCCCAATTTGTTGCTAACGCATTCATTGCTTCACCTTTGCGGCAAAGCTGTGACTTTTTTTTATCTGCAAAGAAATGACCACTAAGTAAGCCAAAATAGAAAATCAAGATAACGAAACAGATGTCATGGCACGAACGTCAAATTTTTGTCGTCAGATGGGTTCGTAAAATAGTCAACTCAGCGCTATGTAGCCGCCACGTACGTAGAGTGTGTCGGGTCGCATGTATGTCAGTGTGTAGAAAAGTATACAATTAAAAGGATTCATTTGTTTTTTGGGCACATTAGTGTGTTTTTTCTCGTCAGTTTGATTACCTGATAAAGCTAGAAAAGTACATAAAACACTATCTCCTGATGCAAGAACTCGTTTGCACATCCTGTAAAGTCCGCTTATTCAATAGTCCTCATGCCGTAATTCATCGATGCGCATTTGAATGCAAACTTTCTTCAATCTTTCCTGAAAGCAATCACGCGTTTACCTTTTTCATCACTGCGATAAGCTCGTCCGTGTTGTTGTCGTCAGCAACTTTGTCCTCCCTGCAGTCTAATGCTGGAAACGCTGCGTCCTTCCCGCCATTCCATTCGATGAGGCTGAGGGCAAAAAGTTTCACCGCGTCGTACAGCATGGCAGCGTCAGTCTGAAAACAAGACGAAAAAGTAGAGACGTCCGGTAAATGAGCATGCATCTACATTACAGTTTGAAAATCACAGCTAGGCGTTTTTTTATTGCATTCGAATTATGTGCATATACTCGGGGCTTGCGGTGAACATCAAGTTCAACGTAAACTTCAAGAACATCATTCTCTCATGATGTGTATGTTTTATGTGCGAGCGAAAGCTTGCGAAGGGCTGCACACGGGTGCGGCTCAAGAAGAGAGGAAATGCACCGACCCACTCTATCGACGATGGAGCATGACGAGTGCCGAAGAAAAGGGAAGGGGGGCTGCATCGCTCTGGCAGTAGCTGTAAACTTTGACCGAAAGGGAATGGTCACGCTCCATTTTGACAGAGATAGGTAGACAGCTCTTGCCCTGGTACGAGCTGTTCTCTCACGCCTTGCGTCACGTGGAGGTGACACACAGCCAGAAAACGGCTTCTCTTAC